ACTCACCGCTACGGTAGAGCGCCCTGTTAAGAGTTTACCGCATGGCAACGTATTTTTTTCGATACACGACGCATACTACGTTCCTGAGAGTAGAGTTCCAAGCCTCCGTTTATCATCCTTGGCTCATCACCAAGTATCTCCCTCTTGCCCTCTCTCTCATTCTCTCTCTATCTATCTATCTGTCTGTCTGTCTGTCTGTCCATCTATTTATCTGTCTGTCCGACTGTCCTTTCAAGAAAATATTAAGAAAGTATTACAAAAAAGATAATGATTTATTTCCCTCAATGTTATATATTCGAAATTATAAAAATCTATCGGTTTTAATAGGGTCGCCGTTCGTTCGATAAATTTAAAAACAAAAAAGAAAAAAAATGTTAAAGAGCAATACTGATAGAAGAATATTTTTATCGTGTCGAGCCGTTTCAGAGCTACGCGACAGTGGAACGACAGAGAGAAAGAGTTAACGAGTTTCGTTCCGCAAAAGCGACTTTAGAGATACGATTCGAGCGACTCTACTCTATACAATATATCGGATCGTTTCTCTCCACGAGGTTTTCCATCCGTCGTGGTGGAAGGCTAACGAACTATCGATGATTAATCGTCAAAGCTACCGACCGATATTCCTACACGTGTATTATCCATGTAGAGAGAGAGAGAGAGAGAGAGAGAGAGAGAGAGAGAGAGGGAGAGAAAGAGAGGGATACTCTCACTGTTCACCAAAGATTTTCCCTCTTCGAATGTTCGGATATCTGTTATTCCTATTATACCTTTCGATAGAGATATCATTGTGTTACTACGATCTTCCTATCGAATATAATGCCTTTTGATTCGCACCAATATCATATGCCTCTTACGCATAACAATTACGATATATGTATATATTTACGTATTTATGTAATCACAAAGTTGATTATCGAATAGAAAATAGAGAATTAAACATTTATATATATATATATATATATATATATATATATATAGTATAAAAATAATTCTCTCTTGGGGTATCAAAGGATCGACCTATGAAACTTCTTTAATCTTTACAAGGCAGATATATTTCGAAATAAATCGATCCTTATCGTAAGATCGGAAACAAGAATATGAAATATCGATGACGTGGAATCTACTCGGAGGAGAGAAGAAGTCTCTCCGCGAATAAACTCACGTACATAGTTGTCGGTAGTCCAACGTTTTACGATAAAATCCGCAAACGATCGATCTATTAAACGAGGTAGCGTGTAATCTGATACACTAGCTGGTACTATCAAAAATTCACGAGGGTCTTCTCTCGTCCTACTTCGAGGACGATTACATCTATCGAACACAAGTAAATAATACGATCGTCTTCAAAGTATTTCTCTTTGTATAATGTGTATCGATGAAACTTTTAAAATGTTCTATCGTCGAGTTTAAAAGGGATTCTTTTTCAACGTTAAGTTTAAGAAAATTAAGTAAAAGAACGAAAATGGATATATATACATTGAAAAATAATAATACGTAAAAAGTATATATCTATATAAGACTAAGTTAATAAGGGTTTAATAAGCTTTATGCTCTTAATAGATCTTGATTTTTGTTAATATCTTGGTAAATTATCGACGATCGACGAGCATCTCTCGCGCGTGGGCGCAAACACGATCGAATACGATCCTGACGTCTCTGTAACGCGAAACGCTTTCGTCGGATATCGAGCGGACGTGTACCTACCACGCACCGATTGATGGCCGAGCCAATTGGCAGCCGAGCACTTGGCAAGAATGATGCAATTAACCAATAAACACGCTTTCCAACAAGGCAACTGCACGTATGTATCTCTCTCTATAGTACGTACTATACGTACGTACGTACGTACGTACGTACGTATGTACGGGAGCACGATGCGGAGCACAATGACGCTGCCAATGACGCGCCACCCTACCTACGTACATATACATACATACATACATACATACATACATACATAGATGAATGCGTACATGCACATATACATTGGTATATACATTCTCTCCTACACGTCCTACGATATTCCACATATGCGTGTATACAAATACGGATACAACAAGAGCGAGCCGAACATAGGTATATCTGCAACATATTCTCATACTGGGCGAGATGAAGTTCATACGTTTGCCACGTTACGTCGGTCCATCGAGTTCGACGCTCGTAACGACGATTCTCGTTTACATTCAAACGTGGCTTTACGAACGAATTCATCCTTTCTAAAGTTACCATCTGACATTTCCGAAACGTCAAGAGTTGTTTCAAATCATACATACCTTCTTGATCTTCGAACGTCATTCATTTCGAACTAAGAATGATCAGTATTTTGAACAAAATTAGATACTATTATAAAGTTATATTACCATTAGATACTCTTATATCATATCACTTATAGTTATATATTATATTACTATTGCGTATTATTTTTATATATCATTCGTCGAATTTGATTTTATCCACCCAATGATAGCACGCGCGTGCTATCCTTTTGTCCAAGGGTATATGGATTAATGTCCGACGAAATTTTATGACCGTCGATGAAATTTCTTGAAACAATTTCTATTCCTTTCTTTTTCTTTTTCTTTCCTTTTCTTTTTCTTCGTCATACGATAGACCTTCGAACCGTAACCGCAAAGTCTAAAAATTTCACACAAATGAACTCCGTCGAGAGACTATGGATAACCACCGGGTCGATACGCGCCGGGCTATCAAAAGTGTCACGTAAACTTTAACATTTCTCTTTCGAGCTAAGATCGTGCATTGCGCCGGATTGAAATGAAATGTTTCACGATGAAAATGATCGTCGTAATAACGCTTTAGAAAATGTCTTCATTCGGATAGAGAAATGACGTATTTAAAAGTGCGATCCTTTCTATTTTCTTTATGATTTATCACGCATATCACCATCTATTAGATGGCTCTTAAAGAACGGATAAAGATCCATAGCGGAATTTTGCGGAGTGAATTACAAACGTAAATAGTCGATGACTAGAACGATCTACTTGAACGATGATATATCGAGAAGTCGTTCGTTCGGAAGTCAACAATCCGATAACTCTTATCTTACCTTTAATACGTCCTCTATACGTGTCTACGTACATACCTACGTATATACATATGTATTATATGGACAAAATGTATATATATATATATATATATATATCTGATAGGAATAAAGTAATTCTTTCGAAGCTTTATCCGTGCGACGAGTACGACACGTCGATAAGTCGTGGGAGAGATATCGAGGAAGAATTTACGTGACGATAGAGCTTCGACAGACGGCGACATTTTTCCACGACGATATAACGATCGTCATTGTCGTTGTTGTTCTCCTCGAGTACTAGCCTATCATTACGTTTACGATATGTTTGCGAATCCTTGTAAACTTACGTGATCTTATACACTGTTTCTATCCATTCCAAGTAGAACGCAATCAACGCTATCGTCGTTCGGGTTTAACAGTGATGAATAACTTTGACGGAACTATGAGTGTCGTATAATTATGATGACGTTGAGAAGAAAAAAAAAGAAAAATGAAAAAAAAAAAAAAAGAAAAATGAATTTGTCGAACCTAGAAAAGAGCGATAACAAAGTGGTTTTTTGATGCAAGGTCGAACGAAACGCCGTTTTGTTTAGACTCGTTCGCACACGGCTAAGATAAAAGTATACGATAACGACCACCCAACTATTATTGTATAAAACTTAGAAAAAGAGATCTACATATATACATACGTACATACATATGTATGAACGTAAGTACTCGCAATTTATTTTCTCGTAATGCGTGGAATTTTTTTTGAATAGCTCAATAAATGGGTAGTACCTCGGATAAATTTAGAAAGACGACGAGACGAGTATTTTAGCTTCGTTGGTTTCGTCCGTTTTCTTCTCGCGTTTCGTTCGTGGCGATGCCACGAAATAACCGGCAAGATTAAGTATCACCGTGTCGAGCGCAGGAAAGGGCAGAGTGATAATAACTGTTTGTTGAGGGTCGAGACAGAAAGGTCGTCGAAGGTTGCACCGTACCAAAGAAGAGGGTTGAATTACACTTTCTCTCTCTCTCTCTCTTTCTCTCTTTCTGTGTGTCGTATATGCGGGTAGACTCCTCCTAACGTAGAAATACGCTTGTCCCTTGTGAAAGAAACAAGAGTAGGAAACGGGGGTTGAAAGAGAGAAGGAGGAAGAGTCTCGGTCGTTAGCGAGACAACGAGTAGGGTGAGTGAGAGTTGCAAGAGAAAGGGGAGAGAGAGAGAGAGAGAGAGAGCGGATGAAACGGTTGGCCGCTTGTAAGAGCGAAAATGAAAACGTGGTAAGGCTGCTGCAGGCTGATACGGATGAGAGAGATCCTAACTTGAATACGGAAGATTCGTCAGCGTGAATGAGATAGATTCGAGCGTGGAAAAGGGCGAGCTCTCCAATGGAATGACGAATTACTTTTCGTAGGGGAAAGGAAAACGAAGGGGAACTGCGATAGAACCGGATTTTCCTTTATTTTGACGTCAAATCTATTTCCCCTCTCTCCCTCAAAGGGCAAACCTTCGCACGAAATAAAATATATTATTATTAATTGAAATTACGGCTAATAAATTCAAAAGTGTTTAGAAAAATAATGATTTTTCTAATAATTCGCAATTCCATTGATTACGTCTAAACTTACATCTATACTTATATCTAAATCTTATATCCAAACTAATGTTTAATAATAATAATTAAATTAATAAAAAAAATGTAACGATAATGATGTTACAAAGGAAGTGTAGTGAATAGAGAGAAAGAGAAAGAGAGAGAGAGAGAGAGAGAGAGAGAAGAAGAAAAAAAGAAAAAGCAAAAGAAGCGTAGGGCACTCGTCGAAAACGATCCGCGTCTGGTTAGGGTTAGCGAGTGAGTGTGGCGTAGCTGGAGAGCGAGAGAGGTAGGAATAAGCACGAGACCACGTGGTTCGGCGGCGAGCCGTGGGGAGGGGATGAGAGCGGCGCGATGGTGGGGAGGTGCTTCTCGAGTCTGCGGTTGATTAGTTGATACCCGTCCGCCGTGGAGGAAGGATCGTTACGTTGATCTCGCGTTTCTTGCGCGTAAAAAAGATACTCGCGTGAGTACAAACGACTTTAGTGCTTTACGTTTAGGTGATTCATCGTCGTAAACGATTTCTATTTCGTACGTTCGAAGGAGGGATAATACATATTGGAAAAGAAAAAAAGAGCACATTTCATTCGGTGATATCCCGTGAAACGAACGGGACAAGTGCGTTTGTGTGAGTGCTTCGCGTACGGGAGCATCTTCATTTCTTTTTTTTTTCTGGTGAAATAAAAGAGAAAGGAAAAAGAGAAGGGAAAGAAAAAAGAAAAGAAGGAGAGCGATTACAGTGCGTCGTCGTGTGCGATCGGAACGCGTGAAAAGGAAGTAACTCGATCGTTTGTTTATTCCGTTTTTCCTTTAGATATTTTTATACCTTGGTGGAATAATAGTGCGTACATGCTATGATCTGGGATACAATTGGATATACTTGAAGAGGATAGATAGGAACGGTGATATAAGAAGAGAAAAACGATCGCGTACACCGACGGCAACGACGTGGAGGCACCAAGGAAGGCCGCGGCCTCGTCCTAGCCTCTTTGAGGAATTCTCGCGACAAGATGTACCCCAGTGCCGGTATAAATGCGGCAGCTGTGGCCGTGGCAGCTGCGGCACGACACCCGGTAAGTGCTCGAAACTTACTTTGCCGTCTTTCTTTCTTTTTTTTTCTCCTTTTTTACTTACGTCCTTTTCTTTTCTTCCTTCCCCTCCCCCTACTCCTTCCACCCTACCTTCCATTCTTTGTCTCTTTCTTCGATCATCGACTGTGGTTTTAAACGATTATTAAAAGATAGGACGCTGGTTGTCGAGAAGCAATTTCGACCTTGCTCATCGACTTGAAAGAAATAAAGAAAGAGAGAGAGAGAGAGAGAGAGCAAATCGTTTATCTTTTCTTTCGATCTCAATGGGAAGCATACTTACGTAAAGTTCCGATACAGGTGGCCGCTTGAAAATCTAAAGCGCAGAAGATAGAAGGAGGCTATTTCGTTAAGAAATTTACGAGCCCGTCGGCTAATAACTCTCGTCTATCGTATGAGAAAGAGAGAGAGAGAGAGAGCACGAAGCTCGATGATTAGCTAAACCGTTGTAAACTTAAGCAATATATCTTCCGTAATACGTGTGTCGCACTTTCAAAGGCGAGATTCCCGGAGTAGTCGTCATCGTCGTCGCGAGAAGCACAAAGTGGTTCGTACTTTCTAAAATGTATATTATGTTCGTTCACGTCGAGACTCCGAGAAGAACCGAACGATTTTATTCCAACTGATTTTTCCTAAACACTCGAATCAATTTATCAGACGACAGAGCTGTTCCACGTACATACATATGTTTTACATGCACGCGTACGTAATTATCTATGAATGGTAAAAGACATTTTATTATCGTCGAAATGATTAGACGTATTTTCGTAATTTTTAAATTTTAGAAGATCCGTCGTCGGAAAAAAAAAATAACTCGAAAAAAATATTATTCAAGTAGTAAACTTTCAGTTCTGTCGATAATAACAGGAATAACACGGGAAGAAACATATCTCGTATTGTACGTTATGTTGTTAATGTGTTCGTCCAATGTGAAATTATTTTCTCGAATTGAAAGTCTTAGAGAAATTGGGAAAGAGGAGGAAAAATTTGTTGTTTTTATTTTCTCTCTCTCTCTCTCTCTCTCTCTCTCTCATTTTTTTACTTCTTTTTCTTTTTTACAACCGAAGAAGGTTCGTTCGGAAATAATATTAGAATGGGGGTCTCCGGTATATATCGTGGGGCCGGTTACAAAGCGTCTAGCTCATGACCGAGCTCTTCTCTCGACTAATATCCAGCGATTATCGATACAAAGCAACCGTGAAAGTATCCTCGGCGTTCTACTCGGGATCGCAACGTTCTGCTTCGTAGTCTGTGGTTTCCTCCTCGGTATACCGCCTCGTCGAGCATAGAGATTACAAACGGAATTTAAGCCGTCCTCCTCCTCCTCCTCCAACGGCCAATTTACGTGTACACGAAGCAGCGCGTGCACAACGACCGAGTCTTCTTCTTCTCTTCTTCTTCTTCTTCTTCTTCTTCTTCTTCTTCTTCTTCTTCTTCTTCTTCTTCTTCTCAGCAGTCATTAACTTGGGATAATTTTATCGCGCTTTGGCCTTTTCCTACGTGATATTCTTCTTTTTCTCTCTCCTTTTTAATCTTTTTTAATACCCTTTTTCCCTCTTCCAACTTTATTCCATTTTATTTTTGAGTCCCTTTTCACAAATAGATCCACGGGTGTGATCAAATCTTCATCTCGTTCAAAGACAAACTAGCATAAATGTATGTAATTAGGTTACTGATCGCTAAATCGAATATCGAACTTTTCAGAGATACGAGGATCCGATCGTACTCGAATACTCGAGTATTATTATAACGGCGTCGAAGCGTAAAACAATCTCTACACTTCGCGAAACATTTAACTTGGTGGTGGGTCCTTTCGAAACAGGATCCAAATACCACTATCACACGATTTTATTAACGATCCATGATATAAGTTAGTACTACTTACGTTGTGTTACGTTTCGATAAGGGACACGAAGAGAAAGGAAGGGAAGGATCGTCGAAGAAATTACAAGCCTTAACTACAAGGGGCTTCTTCGATCTAACCGATCAGTCCTACGACGATTATTCTCTTCTCTTCGAGGGAGATATAGTAGTAGTAGTAGTAGTAGCTCTATATCTTTACGACTATTTTCTCGTAAGTCAATTATCTTACAGAGGGATACGTTTACGTAATCCTTTTACATTTTCGTCCTTAAATAATAAACGTTCCTTTAACGTTACATCCATCCAACGTGTCTTTACACGTTTTATTCTCAAACGAAACTTTCGCGAATACATAGCCCGACTCATTCGGTAAATATTTCATTGAGAGAAACGAGACACGAATGTGAATTTTTTTTTTACTCGGTAATCTCCCTCCTCTCTCTCTCTCTCTCTCTCTCTCTCTCTCCCTCTCTCTCTTTGTCTGTGTCTGTCCGTTTGTCTCTCTTTTATTTCTATCTCTTTCTCTCTCGAGTTCGATGACCGATAGTTTACGTTTCCTTCGAGCGTGACGTTTCCAAACCGAAGCACGACGGACCGGTCTGGACCAGTACGCGAAGGGCGATATGAAGAGGAAGAGGAGGGTAAGAGTGGTAAGAGGGGCGGGGGGAGGAAATATAGGCAGTATTGTCGGAGCGGAAGCTACACGTTTTTTTTTCTCCCCTATCGATGTCATTCCGCTGAAATAAAAACGTCGATCCGGCAAATATTGACGATTTTTCGTGTGGCGCAGGATGTCTAGAGAGAGAGAGAGAGAGAGAGAGAGAGAGAAAGATGGACAGACAGTGGGAAGCGAGCAGAAACACACAGAGCGATTCTTTTTTTAGATCGTTAGGTATTATGTACCAACGAATTCATCGGGCGTATTTATTTTCTCCTTTCGCTTCACTCTTTTTAGTTTTTAAACTCACGTTCGGCTATGGTTCTCTCAACGCACTCGAATCTTTTTTCTCGCGTCGACGTCGAGACGAGACGAGACGAGACGAGACGAGACGAGACGAGATGAGAGTGCGTGCGTGCGTGCGTACGTGCGTGCGAGCGTGCGTGCGTGTGAGAGAAAGAGAGCTCGTTCCGTTTTTTTTCTTCTACGTCACGTTTACCATAAACGCGATATAAAAGGACTCTTGCGACTAACTAACGAGATCGAAGCGAGTTGTCATTTTTTTTCTTTTCTTTTTTCTTTTCTTTTCTTTTTTTTTTTTTTTCCATTTCATTTCTCGTCTTTCGAGAGAATAACTAGAAGAAAACGCGACGAAAATAAGTTTACGTATGTACGTATGCGTGCATGTATACACGTGTATGTTGCATAGGAATATGCGTGTATATGCGTGTGCGTAACCAAGGGTGAAGAAAAAGCGATGGCGAGAACGAGCGAGGGCGACGACGAAAAAATATTTGGCCGGCGGGCAAATTTTTATTCGACCGTAAACAGCATCCCCCTATGAAATGGACGAGGGAGAGAGAGGGGGGGAGGGGTGAGTGAGGGGAAAGAGCGTGGAGAGAGAGGACGAGAATAAATGTATAGGTCGCGAACGAGCTTCGCACGATAACAGCACCCCCTCTGGTACCTCTGGTGTATCCGCAATTACGTTATATCCGTGCACCGCGTTGCGCGTCACCGCATATACAAACGCCGTAGATGAACGATTACCCGTCTCTCTCTCTCTCTCTCTCTCTCTCTCTCTCTCTCTCTTTCTCTCTCTCTCTCTCCGTATATATACATATATATGTATGCATATGCGTACGTACGTATGTACGTATGTATACATATATATGAATATGTATGTATGTATGCATGTATGTATGTGTTTATATGCACAAATAATGTGGAAAAAAAAATATATATATGTATATGTATATCACACTGAAGCTGTATAAAGTATAGACGGATGACTGGATAGATAAATAAAAACATAAAAAAAAAAAAAAAAAAAAAAAGATACAGAGATAACACGGAGGAGACAGATTTTAAATTTGATTCTGTCGCCGTGATATATTTGAAAATGGCGGGTAGCCCACTTTCGATCTAGGTACCTTGCCGATCGACAAAATCGTTTACGTTGTACTCTGTCCGTCCAGGATGATAAAAGCATCGTAGTGTCGTTGTGTCGTCGACGAGAAATGTGAATTAATTTCTATTAGAGATAAAACGTTATTTCGTTCATTATTAGACGAGCACGTTCGGGTTGCACGGGTTATAAATAGTAAAAGATATAGTGCTCTCTTAACTTTTTTACAGATTGATACGATAATCCCATTAACTCGCACGAAAGCCCTGTAAAATTGACAGTGTCCTTTTGTAACGCGAGGGGTTATGGCTCTAACTCGGAACAGGATTGGGGAGAAAAGAGTAGGGGTGGGGACTCGAGTCGGAATACGTACGAGGGAAAGCGCAGGGTGCATTGTTGACAAGTGCCTCCAATGTAAACACAGGTGCACGCTCTTTGGAATAAAAAATGACCTGGACTACGATCGGCTTCGACATCGTCCGCCATATTTGCTCGCCATTGTCATCGCGTTTCTCCGCTTGTTTGACCTATCGTTACTCGCTTTTTTCTCCGCCTTTTTCTCTTTCCCTCACACACATTTGTATTCCTCATCTCCATACTTGGGTACTCTCGTCGAAAAGAGAAGATTTGATTACGTTTCGTTAGGACGAAATTTTGAGAATTTATTTATTTATTTATTTATTCTCGTTTTGTATTCGTCCCGATCGACAAGAAATACAGATGCGTATGTAACATCGTACGCCATCGGTTTCGGAGTTATTTGGGGGAAAAAAAAAAAAAAAAGAAAAAATAAATAAATATATATATATAAATATATAAAAATTCAAGTCGTAGTGGGTATATAGCGCTTCGTCGTACCATGTGTGTATCTACATGCGGGACGACGATTTCCCGTTTCGAGCAATTTCGAACGCGATGAAACGAGGATGGAAAAGCATAGCGGCACGTAACTGGCACGTGCAAACATTCCCGACGGTGAGATAACATACCGAAACGCGATCTTCTCGCTTCGACGAAATTGGCACGATAATTGAAGGACCACGAGAGGGAGCGAAA